AAATTCGTAGGCAGGAACGCCCCTTTGTAAAACCATGCTGAGATTCGTTGATTAATTTTATGCTTTTCAAGGTGGCTACGACTGCCTCGGCTATTATTGATTTTATTTTTTTCTTTTTTTTTTTCATAAATTTTCCACTATGGAGGTTAGGCTTATTGGTTATAGTTCGAAGCTAAGGACCTTCCCGCCGGCTTTGAACAATAGGTATCCTCATTTGCCATTTTCACTTATCTGGCAACAATGCCTAGTTTTAGTGATATGTTTAAAAGATTAGCCAAAGGTTTGCTAGCTCCTCTTTTACATTCCTTTAGGAAACCCTTGCCATTCAGTTCATAGGGCCTGGGGATTTGTTAGTTTTATTTTATCTATTTGCTAAGGTCCATGGTCACTTGTGACCCTAATCGTGCGGTTTTTTATGTCCTGTTTACATACATTCTCATTTCAGGAATATCGCGGTATCTCCTGTGTAAAAAATGAGGAGGAAGTATGTGTTAAAAATTTAACATTTCTTATCACTTTCAGTGAGCTGGACCGAGGAACTTTTGAGTGGGCCTATCTTGTCACCTGCATTTACTGCTGTATACCTGAAAGAATCCTTTTGGGTTAGTCTCCCCCCTCGATTCTCTTGCAACTTTAACCTCATAATCTCTTGTTGCTTTTAATTCCCTTTGCTTATTTCTCTCCTTTAACTGCAATATATCGAGTTCTTAATTGCCCCTCTCCTCTTTTGATTTGCTATATATGCCTCTCTTTTGTCCAATCAGATATTTTAATCTATTGCTTCATCCATTTAGGATCATTTTTGTTTGATCTGATTTTCCCTATATGGAAAAAAAAACATAACTTTGAATGTGCAAGCTAGAACTATGGCCCTTGGAAAGCATCATATCGGCAAACCATCACCACCTACTGACCCCCTTAGGTCATTCCAGTTTCAGCCCACTAATGTAATTTTTCAGGTCCTATGGAAATCAGCCAAGCGAAAGGTCAGGGACGCGAGACTTGATTGCCTTATTAGGGGAATTCTTGATACTTTAAAACTGAGTGTTTTGTGATGTCTCGTTCCCCAAGCTCATCATTAACCTCAAGATTATTAATTAGTGTTTCCCTATGGCAGAACCAAGTCATGGAGGTTATTCCCCTAGTTGGCTCTGTCGCAAACGGTATTTAAAAAAAATTCCTGGATCGTATTCAAGAATGTCACCCGACTCTAAATTTTCCTGTTCAATTTCTCCGCAAATCTGTCTTATAGTTGATTTTCTCCCATTACCACAAATTTTCGTAGGTAGATGCCTTACGAATTTTGTCCCTTAGAAGTTTACTGCATCCCTATCAAGATTTGGGGCCCTGTATTATTATTTATTATAATCAAAAAGAGCGCTTAAGCCCTAGGACATAACAGCTTGGGGCCATGTAAATCACACCAACATATTAGTTTTTCTCGGCCCTCGAGAAGCTGTACAAAACAGATTCAGGGCTAAGCTTATACTTTTATATCTTGTCTAAAACACAACAATTTAAATGTCTTAACAATACATTCTACTCCACCACCCCCCTCTTCAAGGGGGCTCCTTGGTTTTTTCGGAAGAGGCTCTTGGTCTGAGGAATTAGCCCTGATCGGTCTTTCTTCTCAGACTCAGAAACCTAATTACCCCCCATATCTCCCCTCCCCTATCCCATCTCCCCTTTTACATTCTCATCTCTCCTCACCCCTCACTTTTGCCCTTCCTCTTTTTGGCCTTCGTGATTTCCCCCACAGGCGCGCTAGTTCTAGGTAGGGATAGGACACCGGGGCCCATCCCATTCCGTTGAGGTTCTTGTCGGTGGCATAGTTTGCCGTGGAATCTGGATTGCCTGGGGATGTTCCCGATCCCTTCCCTCTGTATCCCGGAGTAAGCTTTGGGTGTCTTTTGGGCGACTGGTGTATCTCTGGAAGCCACCTTTCGGATTTCAGGGGGTGGTGGCTGAAGGAGGTATGCTCTTTGTGCGGATATCCAGGCGCACCTCTCTTTTGTCCGACGAGGTAGTCGGCAGATGTGAGGTTTGCTATCCCGGATTGTGGTTTACTGGCATGAAGGGTAGGGTATGGCACGGGTTTCCATGCTGCATCTGCTCTAATAACGGTGTCGAGTCCTCTTGGGCGCGGAGGGAGATTTCCGGCCTTTCATTCCCCTGGGAAAACTATTCCTCCCCGTCCCCCCTTTTTTTATTCTTTTTTTTATTTTTATTTTTCTTTTCTTCTTTCTTTTTTTTTTTTTTAAAAACAAAAAGCAAAGGTGTAACCTAAACATGGCACCCTAGTCCATCGAAACCACTACCCCCGGGCCCTTTCTTGATTCCGCGCCACATTCTGACCTGCCTTGGGTTTAGGCCCCACTCTTAGGCACTCCTGATGCCCTGTACACTCTTCTGGTGCTGTTTCCTACCGCATTCAGGTACGGGGCTTCGACTGACTCCTTCGATTTGTTGAAACTCCGCTTCCTTTGACTATGCTTCCGGACTCATCCTCTATGGTACGGCATTTTCGAATCGCCTGCCCATTTCATGCCGGACCAATCCGGTCCTACTCCTAAACGCCAACGGTAATCTCCTGATGATGCTCCCTTCGTTACCTTCCCAAATCTACTCCGAAAAGGACCGACACGTCATGCCTCCATCTTCCACGATCAGTTACGGGACCACTCAATGGACTAAATTCGTACTTTAAGGACCAAAACTTCTCTTCTGCCTACCTTTGACCATAGTATTGGCAAAGCGCTCCTGCGTCATGTTGGCAGAGATATTTCATTTCACGCTCTCAAGAGCGGTACGCGCATCGTCACTGTCCAGAATGCTACCCAAGCTCATGATCTTTCTCTCCTTTCGAATATCGATACTACTCCTATCACTATTGAAAAACATCTTTCTCTCAATTCTTGTAGTGGTACTGTCATTCTGCCCCATACCATAGTCCAACAGAATTTCCAGTCATGTGGCAATGACATTTTTGAACAGCTGGAACTCCAGGATCTCCCAATCCTCAAAGTAGACACTTATGTCCTTCCTGCCCGGGGGCGGAGACGTTACCCTTGCAATGTGGCTCGTTTAACTTTTGACAGCCGAGAACTCCGTCCTCTGTATATGTCGCGGGACATCGGTTACAAGTTCGAAAGGTGATACCTACACCGCAACAATGTAGAAATTGCTGGCGTTTTGGTCACCCAGCGAAATATTGCAGATCTATGGCCGAATGCCCAGTCTGTGGTGCCGACGACCATTCTAATACATCTTGCAGTCAACCTCCATCTTGCCTTAATTGTAATGAAGCTCACCCTTCGTACTCCCGCCGTTGCCAGGTCTACTTAAATGAACGTGAAATCCGTTGCCTCAAAGAGGCAGAAGGTCTCCCTTATGCTATGGCAGTTACTCATCTCCGCCTCCAAGGGAGACTACCCGTGTTTCTTATTCTCGTGTTTCCAAACATCCCCCCACTTCTGGGGTCCCATCTTCTGCAGCCTCCTCTGTTGTTACCCCTCCCATAGCCACTACGGCATCTAATCCTTTTGCTGTCCTTGGCTCTGACGTCCCGACTACAACTCAGTCTGTTCTCACATCTTCGCGTCCTTCCTCACAAGCCCAGTATCGACAAGACCTCGTACGACACCTAATACCAATCGCCCCTCTACTCAGAAGTCCAAAAAATCCACATTGCTCAAATCTTCTTTGCCCCTTCCTTCCCTTCTTCCACCTCCACACTTTACCTTTCCAGTCTCTGTACCTAGTTCTTCCCCTCTCTCTGGCTCTATTACAAGTGTGGAGATTCACCCTCCTCCTCGTACTATGCCTTCCACCCCGTCCCCTCCCAAGTTTCTCCCTCTTCTGCCACCTCCCAGGTTTCTGCCTCTTCTGTCCCCCCCACACTTCATCTCCAGTCCCTTACACTTTCCCTCCCCTCTACTTTGGTACAGTCCATTACTGTCCCAATCTTTACTCACCCTCCTCCTCTATCTCCAATATGGTCTCCCATACATCTTTGAATTCAGAAAACACTTGAAGCCATTTCAGAATATATTGCAGAGACTAAACCTTCAATGGACACTGATTCACTTCCTGTTCCTTCTCTTCCCTCTCCTCCATCTTCACAACCCCATTCTTCGCAACGCTCCGTTCCTTCGCTACTTGAACATCTTCCAATGCCACCACACGTTGACTTTTCTAACCCCTCTAGTCCGTAGGTGCCTTTACCTACAGATTCCTGATATTTTCTTCATCGCCAATCATGGCCTATTTACAGTGGAATATCCGCGGCCTCAGGGTAATCGGGGTGAGCTTCAGATGTTGCTTTCCAGGTTTTCCCCTGTTGGTGCTTGCTTACAAGAACCAAAATTCA